ATTACCCTTTTATTAGTGTAGATATCTTTTGGTATGAGTCGTATTTGTCAGCCATTATGTTAGGCTCTCAGTGGGACCTTTCTATCTAGAAATTCATGCCCTTCAGTTCTATAAAATTTGAGTTACTTTATTAATGATTTCATCCCCTCCATTTTCTTTGTTCTATCTTTCCAGAGCTCCCATCAGTGGGTCACTGAATCTGCTGAACAGCTCCTCTAATTTTCTTATTTTTTCTTGTCTCTTCCATCTCTTTGCCTATTTGCTCAACTTTATGAGATATGGCCTCATTTTTCTAACACGTCTGAGTTGTTTCTTTATGCTATTACACTTTTAATTTTCAAAATCTCTTTTCATTATGAATGTTTCTTTTTCATGCACTCTGGTTTCATAAATGTAGTAATATTTATTAATATAGGTCTATTGATAATTTTACTTGTCAAAAAAAATTGTACTTGTCTGTCTTGAATTCCTCCCCCTTCACCCCTATAGTTTATTTCTTCCAAGTTGTGTTTTATATATTATTTTTAGTTTATTTCATTTAAGATGTTCCCTCAAATGTGTAGCAATCAAAAAATAGGGTAAAAAACAAGCCCTAGCCACTTTGTCTCAGTGGGTAGAGTGTCGGCCTGTGGACTGAAGGGTCCTGGGTTTGATTCCGGTCAAGGGCACATGCCCAGGTTGCAGGCTCGATCCCCAGTAGTGGGGTGTGCAGAAGGCAGCTGATCAATGATTCTCTCTCATCATTGATATTTCTATCTCTCTTCCTCTCCCTTCCTCTCTGAAATCAATAAAAATATATTTTAAAAAAATAGGTTAAAAAACAAAAAGCTGTTGGAAGCTCCAATGTGCATTGGTGGGGCTTCCAAACTGTGGTCTTCCTTGTAGGATTATCTGGTGGTTCTGTTTTGTAGGGAGAGCCCTTATACAAATATCTACATCTTTCCTAGAAGGTTGGACTAAAAGTCCCAAAGACTCTTCAAACCATCTGCTTAAAAGGTACATGAAATGTGGAAGCTGAGTTGAGGAAAAAAGCTGGGCAATCTAACATCCAGTATGTAAGCATTCACTAAATCACCTGTGCCAAATATGTACCCCAATCTTCAAAAGTCTGGTAATCTCCAAGTACAGAGATCTTTTGTTTTATTCGTTCTAGGGAATAAATTTCCTGTTTTCTGTTAGGATGGGGAAGAACAGTCAACCCGATGCTTCTTTCTCAGCTTTACCCAGTTGGTTTAGGATTCAACTGCCTCATTTTTATGTAATTGAGAGAAGAAGAAGGGGAGGGAGTCGGGGGGGGGAAGAGAGAGATAGAGAGAGAGAGAGAGAGAGAGAGAGAGAGAGAGAGAGAAAGAGAGAGAGAGAGAGAGAGATATGAGAGCAAAACATTAATCAGTTGCCTCCTACATGGCCCTCTACTGGGGATCGAGCCCACAACCTGGGCATGTGCCCTGACTGGGAATCGAACTGGCAACCTTTTGGTGCATAAGATGACACCTAACCAACTGAACCACACCAGCCATGGCATATTTAAAATTTGTCTACTTACTTTTTAAAATATATATATTTTTATTGATTTCAGAGAGGAAGGGAGAGGGAGAGAGAATCATTGATCAACTGCTTCCTGAATGCTCCACACTGGGGATGGAGCCCACAACCCAGGCATGTGGCCTGACTGGGAATTGAACCGTGATCTCCTGGTTCATAGATCGATGCTTTACCACTGAACCGTGCCAGCTGGGCTATTTACTTTTAGGATACCACAGTTTTATTGTTGTTGTCTTGTGCTGTTTTCCTGTTGTTGTTTTTTTGTCCTGCATAGGTTTTATCACTTTAGTAAGGAGAAAGTGAAAATTAAATTTGTATACTTAATCTGCTATCTCCAGCTATATGTTCTTTCTAGTTTGCCAAAATTTCTCTAGGATAAGTTGCTCTGGATTTGGGTTATCTGGCTTATGCCTATACAATCATTAAGGAATTGGTCTTTAATAGTGTTATGAACCATAGATTTCAATGTGATCTTTAAGTGTTCAGTGAGAGCCTGACTGCTTTATATAACACAATAAGGAACAAAGATATTTATTTATTTAGTCTGCTTAATTTTTCTTTAAATATTTTCCAGAGTCAGTTTTGGTAGTAAATATTTTTCTTGAAATAGTTCAATTTTATTTGTACTTCAAGTTCATTTTTTAAAATAAATGTAAAATTACTTTAAAATTTCTTCTTTTCCTATAATGATTTCTTCATTGTCAATTAAAATACTGTAAATTGTGTTTTTATTGTAAACTGGCTGTTTTTATTTTTTTTTAATTCCCGCCCCCCCTTAAACACAGTCCATGCCCAATACCATTCTGCACTAGCTCCAGATGTACAGCAAAGTGGCCAGAAAATCACATAACCTACAGAATGATCTGCCTGCTGCCCCAAGCATCCACCTGGCACCATACATAGTTATTATAATACTAGAGGCCCGGAGCACAAAAATTTGTGCACTCGGGGGGGAGGGGGAGTCCCTCAGCCCGGCCTGTGCCCTCTCGCAGTCTGGGACCCCTCAGGGGATGACCACCTGCTGGCTTAGGCCCGCTCCCCGGGGGATTGGGCCTAAGATGGCAATCAGACATCCCTCTGGCAGCCCGGCAGCCCTCGGGGGATGTCCACTTGCCAGCAGGGAGCAGGCCTAAACTGCAGTCAGACATCCTTAGCGCTGCTGAGGAGGCAGGAGAGGCTCCCACCACCACCACTGTACTGGCAGCCATCAGCCTGGATTGTGGCTGAGCAGAGCTCCTCCCATGTGAGAGCGCCCTGACCACCAGGGGGCAGCTCCTGCATTGAGCGTCTGCCCCCTGGTGGTCAGTGTGTGTCATAGTGACCAGTCATTCCCAGTCTTTCTGCTGTTAGGGTCAGTTTGCATATTACCCTTTTACTATATAGGATAGAGGCCTGGTGCACGGGTGGGGGCCGGCTGGTTTGCCCTGAAGGGTGTCCCGGATCAGGGTGGGGGTCCCGCTTGGGTGCCTGGCCAGCCTGGATGAGGGGATGATGGCTGTTTTCAGGCTGACCACACCCGCTTCAGGGTGGCGGTCCCCACTGGGGTGCCTGGCCAGTCTGGGTGAGGGGCTGAGGGCCGTTTTCAGGCTGGCGGGTGACTGAAGCTCCCAACCTCTCCTTTTTTTCTTTTTTTTTTATTCTGGGATTTATTTACCTTCTATGGCTGTCACTGGAACTGAGAGCCGGCTTTAGCTCTGAGGCTCGGCTCCAGCTCTGAGACCTCGGCTGCTGAAAGCAGGTATCTGGGTTTGTTTGTCTTCTATAATTGAAACACTGTTGCAGCTCCAGCTCTGATGGCTGAAAGCAGGTTTCTGGGGTTTGTTTAGCTTCTATAATTGCAAGATTGTTTCTTAGAGTGCAAGCTCAGAGCCCAGCAGCGGCAGGCGGAGAACCTTGGCTTCCTCCTTCACTGGAGCAAGCAAGCCTCCTGTTCGCTTCAGCTGCCTGGCTGCCGGCCGCCATCTTGGTTGGCAGTTAATTTGCATATCTCGCTGATTAGCCAATGGGAAGGGTAGCGAAGTTACGGTTAATTACCATGTTTCTCTATTATTAGATAGGATTACTGATTACAATTCCAATGTTGTAGTTCTCAATCTCTTCACCTTTTTCACCCATTCCCCCAACTCCCCTCCCTTATGACAACTGTCAGTCCGTTCTCTGTATCTATGAGTCTGGTTTTTTTTGTTTGTTTGTTGCTTATTTTGTTCCATTACATTCCACATATAAGTGAAATCATATGGTATTTGTCTTTCTCTGACTGGCTTATTTCACGTAGCGTAATACCCTTTAGGTCCATTCATGCTGTCACAAAAGGTAAGACTTCATTTTTTTTTTTTTTTTTTTTTTACGGCCAAGCAGTATTTCATTGTATAAATGGACCATAGCTCTTTTATCCACTCATCTACTGAGGGGCACTTGGGTTGCTTCCATATCTTGGCTATTGTAAATAACGCTGCAGTGAACATACACATGCATATATTCTTTCAAATTAGTGTTTCAGGTTTCTTCAGATATATACCCAAGTGTAACCACTGGGTCATAAGGCAGTTCCATTTTTAATGTTCCATAGTGGAACATTCCATAGTGGTTGCAACAATCTGCATTCCTACTAACAGTACACTAGGTTTCCCTTTTCTTCACATCCCAAATATATTTATTTGACAAATAAAAATTCTACATACTCTCTTAAAAACAACAGAATTATTTCCCAAAAGATTTTTCCAGTTCCATTTGTAAATCACTTAACTCAGAATAAAATCTAAGTCTAAAACTGAAAAATATTTTCAATTTCATCTGGTCTAATCTCTTCTTTTACAACAACAAAATCACAAATCATATAATGATTTAAAGACTTAGCTCAATTCACACTTAGAAAGATAAAGCTTATTATACATCTGAACTATTATGTGCCTGTCACACAGTCGGTACTTAATACTTGTTGAAAATAGCTAAATTTCAAAACTAACTGTTCTGTCAATTACGTTTTTGAAAAGAAGCTAAGTATTTAACTATAGTCAATTAGGAAATAAGTTATATTATCCCTATTAACTTTCAGTGTATATTTTATACCTTATATCCGAATCTGAAGACTTCTCTCTCACTGCCAACTTCGCAATCTCTCCTTGAGACATAGTCTTATGAAGTTTTGTTTCTTCATCAACCGAAGAAAATCGTTGTGATGTCTGTAATAATTACATATGTGGAAGACTTTAAAACTAAGTAATATATCATAGCACTATAACTGAAATTCAGGTTATATAATTTTTTGAGAATTACACCTATTAAAAACATACAAAAATACATTAATATTATACAGAGATTTTGACATAAGAGAAACTATTAAAAACTCTGCCTGGTATAATCTGAAGTAAAGAAAACTTGAGTCAATGAAAATGCTAAATAGGACCTACCAGCTCATGTTTTCTGACAGTTTAACAAAAAATATCAAGTGGAACGATAAGAAAAAAGTTAAACCATCTAAAGATACAGACAAAAGATCCAGGATCTGACAAATGTAAGATGCTAAGTACAGTCTTTCATAGCTCATTTTTATGGCTTAACTTGCTATTATAGATTTTTATTATATCCAGGAAAGGATTTAAAAGAGCAAGTATACAGAAAGATAAGAAAAAACAAAGGAGCAAAGAATAAAAAATCATTATCACCACCAACAGTCTAAATTATAAACAACTTATATGGCTATCCAACTGGGACCTGAATTTCAATTGGCAATTCCTGTGCCACTTGTTTACAATATGCCTTTTTAAAGGAGTGAATTTCCTGTTACCTATTCAAGTCATTTCCTAATATTTAATTTTTCTAAAATTATAATATCTTTTCCTTAACCCTTTGGTCTGCCTGACTATGGCCTTATCAACAAAAACTATCTTGAGTTGTTAAAATTTAAAGAACAAACTTCTGCTTCTGTCAAAGATGAAGTAACAGGGACCCTTTTTATCCTCTTGCTGAAATAACCAAAAACAGAAACCCATACAAAACAACATGAAACGGCACTTATCAAGATGATGGACAGTTATCCCTGAGAGAGGAGAAAAAAAGAAAGTGCGTCCTACAACTGCCCCAGCTTAGTGACTTGAGGTTGTTTCCAAGTTGTGACAGAGAGGGAGAATCCAGGTGAAACTTGGCAGACTCTCTGAGCTGAATCCATGAAGCTAAAAGTCCAGAGAGATGAAGGTGACCAAAAGTCAGGAGATTGGAGAGAAGAGGATGCACAGAAAAAGAACTTTGGAGATCTTCAGAGTTTACACATTGAGTATTTAGTAGAGTACTAATCAACACTTCTGTGTCAGAAAACTGCCCAAGACCAGGAAAAGGCCACCTGAAAAGATTAAAGGTAATAGTGCTCATCCAGTGCCTGTGCCCAAGAGTCAGAGTACACAACTTTATGATTCCCAGGGCACTGAGTAAAGTACATTGAGAATCTTGCCTCAATAGTCTAGCCCCGTGGTCGGCAAACTGCGGCTCGCGAGCCACATGCGGCTCTTTGGCCCCTTGAGTGTGGCTCTTCCTAAGCCTTAGGAGTACCCTAATTAAGTTAATAACAATGTACTATATAGTGTAAGTTTAAAAAATTTGGCTCTCAAAAGAAATTTCAATCGTTGTACTGTTGATATTTGGCTCTGTTGACTAATGAGTTTGCCAACCACTGGTAGCCTAAGTACTGCTCTGCTTGAGCCTAACAAATTTTTATTTTATTTAATAAAAATTATATATGTTTAAGTTGTGAGAATTTTACTTACATATAAATAGTAAAAAGATAACTAAAGTCAAGTTAATTAACATATCTCCTTTGCTGATGAGAGCACCTGAAATCTACTCTCTTGACAAATTTCCAGTATTCAATACAGTGAGCCTAACAACCCTTCAAAGAAAAACCTAAAAGGACCAAGTTGCTTCCAGAACAAAGCTTTGGAATATTGCTGAAATATAACAGGCTCAAGAATATTAATCAAATATAAATATCCAACAAGACAAAATTCACAAAGTCAGGCATCCAGTAAGAAATAACTAGGCATGCAAATAAGTAAGAATATACACCGAGAACGAGAAGAAAAATACTAACACAAATGTTATCGAGTACTGGTAGTTAGAGAACTGACTAAAGGGAAAGAACATAAAATGGCATGTGATTCAAAATGGCATATTTTTAGAGGCATTATTTCTGAGGTAAAAGAAGATAAAAAGGGGAGGCAGGTGGGCAGCCACTGAGGAGCAGCAGCCAAGGCTTTGCGCTAGCCCATAGCCAGGGGCCTCAACAAGGGCCACACCAAGATCATGAGCAAGTCAAGGCACAGCCACCACCGTGGATACCTCACCAAGCAAACTAAGTTCGTGTGGGACATGATCTGAGAGGTGTGTGGGCTTTGTCCCCTATGAGTGGCATGCCATGGAACTGCTCAAGGTCTCTAAGGACAAGAGGGCCCTGAAGTTCATCAAGAAAAGGGTGGAGACACACATCTGTGCCAAGAGGAGGAGAGAGGAGCTGAGCAATGCCCTTGCAGCCATGAGGAAGGCAGCAGCCAAGAAGGACTGAGCCCCATCCCCTCTGTGTACAATAAAACCTGTTGGGAAAAAAAAGAAAAAAAAAAAGGAAGAAAGGGGTGCCTTTTGGAGATTGGGCATTAAAGAGGAAACACAGCAGAAGGTAAAAATTTATAACCCAACACCTGGCCAGCGTGGCTCAGTGGTTGAGCGTCAACCTATGAACCTGGGGATCACAGTTCAATTTCTGGTTGGGGCATATGCCCGGGTTACGGGCTCGATCCCCAGAGTGGGGCATGCAGGAGGCAGCCGATCAATGATTCTCTCTCATCATCATTAATGTTTCTATCTCTCTCTCCCTCTCCCTTCCTCTCTGAATTCAATAAATATATACATATATATTTTTTAAATTTATAATCCAGCAAAACAAACGAAAAGAAAAATAATAGCAGACACACAATGCCTCTGCCATCACAAAAACAAACCCAAAAAGGCTGTATATAAAAGAAACTGAACTTTGCTACAATGGTAGAAGAGAAAGTGCTTGAACTTGTTCTTATAAACTACTCCAAATGTACAAAACTAATAAGTTAAAACATACAAAATCTACACAAGCTACAGTAAGAAAACCAAAATTCAAACCAAAACAACTCAGTTGGTTAACTCCACATCTCACTGCCCCTTCCCCCGAGAAAAACACACCAAGCTCGAAGCAGAAAACTGTAATTCAAAAATGAATTAAATATCCTCACATGTATGAAATACCAGTAAGAAATGAAAAAACATGTTGAATGAATTCAGAAAAGGAATAAAAAGATAGTGCAATGAAGACTAATTTATAAGATGACTAAGGGAAAAAGGTACAAATAAAAATTTAAAGAGACTAAACAAAGGCAGGAAGATAATCTATATATTTGAAAGCCTAATATGCAAATTGTCTCCTTGGGAGTTTGACTGGGAGTTCAATCACTCGCTATGACATGCACTGACCACCAGGGGGAGGCGTGGAATGAAGGAAGGCTATGGCTGGCAACTGGCAGCCAGGGAAGGAAGGCCCTGGCCAGCAGCGGGAAGGCCCCGATAGGCCCTGATGGCTGGCCAGGCCTAGCGACCCTACCCGTGAATGAATTTTGTGCACTGGACCTCTAGTAAAGAATATAAGGTGATATAAAGAAATAAGGAAAAAAGGGTCAGAGAGAAGGTGGCTTAAATGGAAGACAGGAAAATAAGAAGAAAAACTTATTTATAGTAATTGGAGTTCCGAAACAAGGAAAACAACAGAAATTTAAAACAATAATCCATTAAAACTGTTCATAAATAAGGCAAGACCAGAATTTAAATATTGACAGAGTCCTGCAGGTATATGGAGTAACTGATCTGTAATGATCAACTTGAGGACATATCAGAAACTTTAAATATAAAGAAAAAATTCTGAAAGCCTCCAAGAAAAACAATCAAATAACTTATGAAGGCAAGAAAATTATACTGGCAATAAACCTACCAAAAATAACAAATAGAGCAAGTAAACAATAAAACATCATTTTAAAAAAATTCAGGGAAAGTATGAATCAAGGATATTATATATGGCCAGGATGTCCCTTCAAATATCAAGCCTTTAAAAAGAACTCAAGGAATTCCACATCTATGTGCCCTTCATGAGTAATTTACTAGGGAAGACCTTCATCCAAACAAGAGATAAATCAGGAAACTTCAGCAAAACATTTAATGTCATTATTCAATATATTTAATAGTATATCTCAGGCAAAAACAAGGATGGGGACTAGGGTAAAAGAATAACGTGGAAAATTACATGTTCTGACAAAGTTGAAACCTAAGAAACAAGAGTTGAAGGAAGAGGAAAAGTAGAGAGTAGAGTAACTCATCAATAGTTGGGTCACGGTAGATGAGAATTAAAGAATATTACTCATTAAAAAATTACTGGAGAATAATTGGTTAAAAAGTAGTAAATAAAAGTAGTAAATTAAAAAGTTATATACAAAGGAAAACAACCAATAGAACAAGAACACAATCTTCCCTAAATATCAAAAGAAATTTTTAAAAATAAGAGAAAAAAAACACATGTAACATAACACAGCAAATTTGATGTAGCACAATATAAAATTACTAGAGGCCTGGTGTATGAAATTCATGCACGGATAGGGTCCTTAGGCCTGGCCGGAGATCAGGACCAATCGGGGTCTTCTGGCTGCTGGCCAGGGCCTTCCTTCCAGCTGCTGGCCGGGGCCTTCCTTCGTTCCGCGCCAACCCCTGGTGGTCAGCGCACATCATAGCGAGTGATCGAACTCCCAGTCTCCCGACTGAACTCCCGAGGGGACACTTTGCATATTAGCCTTTTATATATATAGATAAGAGTTGAGACTGAATTGTCAGTTATATTAATAAATAAGAATAGATTGAACTCATCTATCAGGGGAAGAAATTTTTAATTTGGCTCACAAAGCAGGACCAAACTCACAAAAAGATCCAGAATGGCTAAAATAGGGGATGACTAAAAGTATTCTGGACAAATAGAAATAATAAGAAAACGGAGGCTGTGGTATTACTATTGAGAAGAATTCAAGCAAAACGTACTGAATGTGACAAGAGCCACCATTCATAATGAATAAAAGGTGACTTTAACACAACATTCATTGTGTATAAGACAGATCAAGTGTACAAAAAGTAATAAAAATATAGAAGACAACATAATCAATAAGGTAGAGATTATGGATATGTACTAAAATTTTACACTATAAATAAAAAATACACCTTATCAAATGCACATGATATATTCACAAAAACTGATCACATAATAAATTTTAAAAATACTGATTGTTTCATAGGGAAAGTCTATGCAATCTTCAAAGAGCAGAGCCACAATGCTATAAACTATCCCTAACTTTCTGGAAGGAATAAAATAAACATATAAATACTCAGTGTATTTAACATTGTGGCTGTTGTGTGGGGGCCACCAATCCAAACCTCTTATGTCATAAACTTTGTTCACTACCAACCAGCTTTCCAACTATTAAGACCACCTCAAAATCACTAGCCTAGGTCCCCAAATCCTATACACATCCTCTTTTGATTTCCCCTTTCTGAGAAATTACTAAGACCTAATCAATGTTGATTTTCACTTACTATAAAATAAGTTAATAAACTTAGCCATACTTAATCAGCAGGTTTTTCTAGCTGATTTTGGGGGAGTGGAAAAGAAGGAAAACTTAACACAGATAAGGATTGGAGAGTATCTCAGAGAATAACACACAGAAATAAGAATATAAGAAGCGACAGCAGTTGGGGGATGGTGAGAAATTTAGTTTTATCATACTGGAGATAAAGAAGACAAATTCTGGAGTGCTATTTTGGAGTCATACTCATAGAAATGATTGGTTTAACTCTGGAGAATAGTAGAAGAAACTATACAGAGAAAACTGTAATGTTACCTATACCAATCCTATGAATAAGGGATAGAAATTATTTTACTAAACTCACCATTCAGAAGATTGAGAGACTAGAATCCTATACAAAAACCACCTTAAAAATACTGCTTAGCAGAATGTGTCATTCTTCTTGGGTAAAAGCCAATATAGTGGGTATAAGAACTAAGTGAGAGCAGCATACATAGACTAAACAATTATTCAAATGGCAGAGTTATAAGTAGGAATTTAAAAAAACACACACCAAAGTCTTAAGGAGGGAAACTACTATTCTTGTTTCCACTCCTCCACAACTGGTTAACAACTGATGAGCAACAATTCATCAACTTAGGAGGTAATGCTTATCAAATTCCCTTTATGTAATTCATTAATAAACTGCCTTTATCCCATTAGATGTTTCACAACTGGAAAGGATAGATGGCTTCTTCCAAGATAGAACTGATACACATTCTAGCAAAAGTCAGTGATGGGATCACTTTGTCTAGTAAAAAAAACTACAAAACAATGATGTTTTTAAAAATCCATGTGCCACAGAATAAAGCCCATTTAAAATCCTAAAGATATCTCAATTTTGAAAATTCAGTAGATTCCATTTAGAAACAATTAGTCTTCATCTTCACAATATCAGATAACATTAGAACATGGCATATTTTCAAGATAAACAGAAACACTTTAAAACTGTCCCTACCCTTCCCACCCCTAACCCCACCAAATATCTATCAGCATATTCTAGAAAGCAAAGCTTCTTCATGCAAGTATCCACCAGAAGCAACCACCACCACTTGCTCCTAAAATAGTAATGAAACAGAAGGGCAGTGAGAAAGCTGGAGAAGTGACTAACATACTGCAGAGGGTGTTCTATAACTACTGGCATGCAGTGACCGTCAAGCAGGTGAACAGAATCATTGGCAGAGGCTACCAGCTAGAACCCTTAAAGGGGCTGAATGCTCCAAGCAGAAAGCCCAACTTCCTGGTTCATCTCAGTAGAGTTCTTAGTAAGAAAGAATTCTACCACCAAAAAGACTAAGGTTTGTAACAAAGGAAACTCTCAGGAACAAAGCAGCAATTACAAATGATAAGTTCTTCCACAAATAAAGTATTTATTTAGGCTTTAGAGAATAAATTAAGCATGCTCCCTATTCACCGTAAAAAAATATGTAGGTAGTACTTTTCATTAAAATTAGTTTGCTTCATTACATAATTCATCTTTAACTAATAATCATAAAAGAGTATGTGTTGCTATTTATAACTAAAAAACAAGGCACCTCCAAAATGGAGTTATTTTATTGTACCTAAAGAGAGGGCTCTGGCTCTAATTATATATATTAGTGATATACAAACTGTTCCAATCATTTACAGTTTGGCTCAGTGTAATGAATCATTTGTCTAATTAGAGAATTGATAGTGCATTTTTCTGTGTTGTTTTTTCTTTCTTAGAATGTCAATACTGTCATTTTAAAACTGGGTCTATCTACAACAAAAGATAAAGAAAATGAGAATATTCTGGAAATTAGCAAACATTTTAATAAACTCAACCTTTGGCACAAACAGCTTAAAACAGTTCAAAGATAAAATATTTAATGAGTCAAAAGAAGACCACTATAAAATTTTCCTCCCATAAAAAAGAATGAGATCCAACTTAATTAAGGATACGCATGGTAATAATCTGCATATCACTCCACGTTTACCAGTGTAATGTTTTAGTACATAACAGACATACAGGGTCCTTATATTGTGTATTTTCCAGGTCAATTCCAAAATTAACACTTTATATGCACAAATACATTCACACTTGCCCAACTATAGGGTGTCCACCCAAAATATATACACATACTTTAAATAATTATAAAAGCAGTGTTTATTAAAATACATTTCATTTTCAAAATTGAACTATCAGCTGTTAGTGTGTTTACATATTTTTTTTTTGTGGGGGGGACGTGTATATATATCTAATTTTGGTTGAGATCTGATGATAAAGTTATATTCTTTGTTGAAATAAAGCAGTTTTATTCAAGCCTAATTCCAATGTTATAATTTTTGATTATAACAAACTTACATTACATCCAAAACCTCTACTTGGCTAGGTTGGTCTAGGGAGTCATTTTTGGCATTGCTCATTATGTAAAATTTTTAAAAATCCATGTTTATTTTCTATTACTAAAAAATTAGGGAGGGAAAGCAACTTTAAATGCAAAAAAGAAAAAAAGAGAATACCATTTCAATTAAAAGCTATTGGTTATCTAACTCTAACACATAACCTGAGTCACTAGATCAGAGAGGGATCAGCAAACTATGGCCAACAGGTGAAATACAGCTCATTGCTGTTTTTGTAAATAGTTTTATTGGAACACAGCCATGTCCAGTTGTTAACTTATTGTCTCTGGCTGTTTTCACTCTGTGGTGGCAGAGTTAAGTAGTTGCAACAAAGACTGCTTGACCCACAGAGTCTAAAATGTTTACCATCCTACCTGTTATAGAAAAAATACTTAAGGGTCCATGTTCCAGACCTTTCAAGCCATAATACAGAACATTTCTACATTAAGTTAACCGTAATGCTGCCTAATTTATGATTTGACATAAACTGCTAAAGTGCCTTTTATCTTTGTCCTATTAAAGTTTAGCTTATTTGCTGTGTTCACTGAGGTTTCTCATGTACAAACCATCATACAGGGAAGAAGCTGTGAAGGTTAGCTTTAGATTAGCAAAGACTATGCCCATCAGATTTGCTTGTTGCCTATTTTTCTTATATAAAATTACCATTTCGGAGTCACTGTGAGAGGCCTGACCCAGGATGGGAGCTGGCCCTAGCTCAGAGTGAGAAGGTTGGTCAAGGGAGAGAAGGGGCTCAATGTCATCGTAATCATCTTCCTCTGTATCCCCCTCCCCATCAGCAAAAGTACCTCTAGTCAAGAAATCGGAGCGCGTCCGCGCCATTCGAGCTTTCTTTTTATGGGCCGGTCTGGCAACCTGCTTGACCAAATGATAAAACAAATAACACAACAATGTTTTGTTTTGTTTTTGAGATGATGCCAATGAAAGATATCAGAGAGCTCATGAATTTCTTGAAATATCCCTCCACCCACAATGTACTTTCCACTAGAAGTGACAGATAACCAAAAGCAATCCATATACATTACTCTGGACAAAGGATGAGAATGGAAGCTAAATTTACATTGTTCTTCTCCATAGCCAAGGAAGTCATCTTTCACTGCCATAATAAGTCACAAAAATCACTTGCATAAATTGCCTTCTTTTTCTTAGCAACTTCTTTTTTGTAAATAACATCTGGGTTTGTAGACACCATTCCCTGCCTAAAGTTCACCTCCCTAAGTAAGAACAAACTTAACTCATGGCTTCTTTCTCTATAAATGCTTCAGATTAAATGGGTAGATGAGATGCTATGTCTACAAGAATAGTAATTTCCAAAATAGCATGCATTGATTTTGCATAAAATATAGATAGGCAAAATTCCATACTTACCTCTCCTTGGCCCGGCCCAGTTAACTTCATAGGTTTCCAAATTGGTTCATCTTGTTTATGGACTTTAGGATTTCCACTGTTTAAGAATTCCCTGTTGACACTTAGAAATAAAAAAGCAGGATTACATTTCAATTCCTGGCAGCAGTCTTCAAGTACAGCATAAAATATACTTCCACAGCCAGGTTGAAGAATTCCAGCAAATTCCATACATATTCAATTCCCAAAAAAATATATAAAAAATTTTCTGATTATCACATTGATACTATTATCAAGAATTTATGTTTTTTTCAAGGTGGGGCGGGATAGGTGAATCTTTCTTGATCCTCCTCCCAGAACCAAACTAGGAATAAAACTAAATTGGGGAACATTCTCCCTGAATTAGCCAACTGAAGACTAGCTGAAGAAGAGACTTTTAAACAACTAAGGGCAAAAACCACCTTGAGACTGCACCTGTACAACAGCTTGCATGATGTGGTCAGGGTTGAGCATCATAGTCAGTCAGCCTAGGGGAGATTCCACCCACAAAGGGGACAACAACAATCAAGACCCAATTACCAGAAGAGAGCCCAAAGAACCCACAAAAGGAACATTTCTAGAGCATCCAACTCAGGAGGTAAAAGAGACTGCACCACTGGATACCGCAGGACACTTAACACGTTAAGCGCCAAGCCTGTTTTGTCTTCCCTTCCATTTAGCCTGCGATACCCCATTTCACCAATATGCTGGTGGCCGGAGACTGACATGGTCCAAACGAAAAGTATAATGTCAGTCACTGGTGACTGACATGGTGCTCAACGTGTTAAGGCCACCTCACAAAGCCTGGGAGTCATAGCAGCTATATCTAATACATAGAAACAAACACAAAGAGGCAGCTAAAGTGGGAAGACAAAGAAACAACCCCAAATGAAAGAAAAAAGGACTCTCCAGAAAAAGAGCTAAATGAAATAGAGGCAAGCAATTTGTCAGACAAAGAGTTCAGAATAAGGATGCTCAAGGAATTTAGTGAGAATTACAAGGAACTTAATGGGAACTACAAGGAACTTAGTGGGAATTACTATATCAGCATAAAAAAGGACATAGAAACCCTGAAGAACCAGAAAGAAATAAAGAATACCTTATCTGACATCAAAATATAAGGAATTAAAAGTAGGCTGGATGGAGCAGAGGATTGAATCAGTGATGTGTAAAGGAAAAAAACAACAACCAATAAGAACAACAAAAAGAAAAAGAATTTTAAAAAACAAGAATAGTTTAAGGGAACTTTGGGACAACCTGAAACATAACAATATCCGTATCATAGGGGTACCAGAAGAAGAAGTAAGCAAGGAACAAAAAACCTATTTGAAGAAATAATGACAGAAAACTTCTCTAACCTGGTGAAAGAAAAAGTCACATAAGTTCAAGAAGCAAAAGAGAGTTCCAATCAAGATGAACACAAAGAGACCCACCCCAAGACACATCAAGATTAAAATGGCAAACATTAAAGACAAAGAGAGAATCTTAAAGGCAGCAAAAGAGAAAGTTACCTACAAGAGCATTCGCGTAAGGACATCAGCTAATTTTCCAACAGAAACACTTCAGGCCAGAAGGGACTGGCATGAAGCATTCAAAGTAATGAAAAGCAAGGACCTGAATCCAAGACTACTCTATTGAGCAAGGTCATCATTTGAAATTGAAGGCCAAATAAACAGCTTCCTAGCCCTCCCCGGCCAAAAAAAAAGGTAAAAGAAGTTCAATACCACAAACCAGCACTGCAAAAAATGTTAAAGGGACTTGTGGACAAAAGGGGCCACATGCTAACCTGACAAGCTCAGGGAAGGCCTGCATAGCAGTCTTGCAAACTCAGAGACCTAAAGTAACCACAAAGGATGGTCTGAAATTAAACTTTAACTAAAAGCAGTTATGGGTAGTTACATCCTAGGCCAGTATATTCACTGACAAGCTCAACCTTTAATTTAACTGAGCCTATCTGTCTTTTGCATCTATAATAACATACCCTTGAAATGTCTGGGTAACTTGTAACTTTCCCTTTTTCTGGACCTCTTGGGGCACAATCTAATGTGCCTGGGCACCAGGACAGATACCACAAATTCCTTCATT